GCGGTGGCCGGGAGCGGCCACTGCACTCCAGTCTGGGCGACAGAGTGAGACTCCGACCCCAAAAATAAATAAATAAATAAATAAATAAATAAAATAAAATCAGAGTTTTTTCAGAGGGAGGGCTCCGGGGAGGTTGGGAGGTTGTGCTGGAAGGTTTTAATCTCACTTGCTTTATCCAAAGGAAAATAGTCACAGCAGCACTGAGCTAGACTTAGAGCCCCAGGGACCTGAGCACCTCTCCTGAGACACAAACAACACTGAAGACCATAAACAGGCGGCCAAAAGATTAGGGATCCTCCCCCTGACGCGGGGATTTTAGAGTTTTTTAGAACTGGTAGGTGTGAATAGGGCACTTAAAATAGCCTGCTTCCCAATGAGCTGGAATTTAATGGTGGCGTTATCCCATCTGAGATTGTACCCTGAAGGTGGGTGACTCTCTGAGCACTAGGGAGTGGGGTCCTTACCCCTGCTCCTTGTTCTGCCATGCACATGGCATGCACCTTCCAACCTGAGTGATGAGGGGTCAGCCTTTTGGGGCTGATTAAAAACTCCTGACTCTTCCCCTTCTGGCACAGGCTGAGTTCGCGTTTCTCTCAAAACTAATACGTTGAAGTCTTAGCTTCCAGTTGACTGCATGTGGAGACGGGATCTTTAAAGAGGTAATTAAGGTCAAATGAGGTCAGGCAGGTGGGCCCTCATCCAATCTGCCTGGTGTCCTTATAAGAAGAGGAAATTTGGAAACACAGAGTCACCAGGGACAGAGGAAACGCCATGAGAAGGTGCAGCGAGAAGATGGCTGTCTACAAGCCAAGCAGAGAGGACTCCGAAGAGGTCAACTCTGCTAACACCTTGAGCTTGAAATTTCAGCCTCTGAGACTGTGAGATAATCCATTTCTGTTTAAACCAGTCGGCCGGGCTTGAGGTGGCTCAGCCTGTTATCCCAGCACTTTGGGAGGCCGAGGCGAGTGGATTGCCAGAGCCTGCGGGTTTGAGACCCACCTGGGCAACTTGGCGAGACCTCCTCTCTACAATATATCAAAAATTAGCCGGGCATGGTAGTGCACACCTGTAGTTCTGGCTACTTGGAAGACTGAAGCAGAAGGGTTGCTGGAGCCCAGCATGTCGAGGCTGTGGTGGCCGGGAGCATGCCACTGCCCTCCAGTCTGGGCGACAGAGTGAGACTCCAACTCAAAAAAAGTAAAAATAATAAATAAATAAGCCAGCCAGTCTGTGGTGTCTGCTATGCAACCCGAGCAAACCAACACACCTTTCCAGCCTTAATTTCCCCTGGGCATGACGCCCTCTCTTGATCTGATGCTGATTCCATTCTAATACCAGAGTAACAAGTAGCAAGGCTCTGCTCTTTTCTGCGCTGAGCCTTACCCCCAGCTGGCTTTGTTTCGCTCTTCCTGTTCCTTCTCCTGACCGCCTCCCAGGACTGCCCTGGAGAAGCTCTACATCTGGCTCGTCCTGGCTCTCACTGTCCTTTCAAACCCAACCCAGGCCAGCAGCCCACCAGACCACCAAGACTCACGGTCCTTCCTGTACACAACCCTTGTCCGACAGGCCACATGGTGCTGGACATTTGTGGGGTCAGAGACAGTGGGAGGAAGGGTGAAACATTTTAGAAGATGGAGAAAGACGGAGGCCTTTCTTTCCCTCTCACCACCCCCTCTAAGAACTTCCCACAGGTTGATAAATATTGTTATGGTCCAAAACAGAAGGTGCAATTTGGCTCTGGTTCTCAGATTTTACTCCTGTGGGTTAGTAAAACAGATGGAGGGTTGTCCAACTCGAGGAGAAAGCCAGACCCATTCAGAGCAATCTTTTAAATGCTCTCAGACCTGGCACAGGCCTGTGTTTACTAATTCTCACCCTGAGAGCCAGGAAACCAAAGGACTCTTTCGGGTAGTGGCCATGTGCTGGGATGTTGAATCAGCATACCCTTCAGGCTTTAGCCTTGGGGGTCCGTTCTGTGCAGTGAGACGCTGTTGATATCTTATGTTCCAGCTGGTATTATTTTGGGAGAATTGTTTGAAGAGAAGGAAAACTCTCACTTTGTCCTAGCAAGATGCTACTACGATGGCTGAGCTCTTTGATTCTTTTCTTACAGCCAAGAGAAAACTCTCCATACCTCCATTGCCCTTTTAAAGACAGTGGAGATTGGGTTGCCGAGGCTCAGGGGGGACTGTGTGCTGAATCTCAAAATTTCCAGACAGTTTAATCTGGATAAAGGCAAACAGTTTGGACTCACCTCAATGCATATCTGATCCGAGGCGATGATGACTCTACAGCTGGCAGAAAACAGCACTGCCAAAAGGAAGCGGCTGATGTCGGGAGCCATCATGAGACCAATGCAATCCCAGCGTGGTGGGCTTATCTGACACTCGGAGCTGAGAAACGGAGTCAAGCTATGATGGTCCCTGCAGTTTGGTAGCCGGAGAGGTGCTCAGAAGGGTAATCTTGGAACAAGAAATGCTGTTGACTGCTCAGCATACGGTGACTCTATGCCACTGAAAAGGGGAAGTCCCTTTTGCATACCACCCATCTTTGCCAAAAATAACTGAGAACCGAGCCCCAGAATGGCCCCGTGTGTTTCCCGACAAGCATGAAGCAGTGGTGCAGCCCTTCTGGGCGGATCACACAGAGGCTCAGTGTGATGGTTCCACTGACCTTATGCCAGCTTCAAGCATTTGGCCAACTGCAACAGCTTCTGGACCCTTCCCCCAAGAGAGGCTGTGGAAGCAGGAAGCTGCATTCCTCCCAAGAAGGCCACTTCGCTAGTTGTCCCAGGTGAGTGACTACAGAAGCAATGGGGCATGCCAGGAGGGCAGAACGCTTTGTGGGGGCAGATGGAAGGACTGAGTCCTTCAGTAGCAGCTGCTGAGTTGGGAACCAGAGTGAGAGGGAACTGCCTTGACAGTATCCCTGCTCCTTGAGTCTCAGTTGCTGCCTCGGCCTCCTTGTCCATCCCCACCTGGGGTCCTCATTCAGAAGAGGATTATTCCATCTCTTGACCTAGTGATTCAGGCCTGTTAAAGCAGCTGGAGTAGGATCCCCTCTTGTTCCCTTCTAACCTGGCCCAGGGAAGTAGGGGGCATTGCTGTAAACAAAGCAGCCTGGCTCCGGGAGAGCAGAGCTAAGGATGCCAGACTTGGCTCTATTTCTTCTTAGAAACAGCTTGGAAGCAGGATTGCAATTACCCTCATCATGGTGCAAGATGTAGCAATGATTAGAGAAAGTCAGAGTTCAAGCCTTCCTCAGTGGGATGCATGTAGCCACCTCACTGTCTGCTCTCCGGTCCTCCGGCATAAAGGAGATGCCGGGTGTGACCGTTCTCCCATTCCACTTCCAAGAGCCCAAGTCTTAGTATCAGAGTTCATGATGACTTGAGATACTACTATTACCACACTATATTACTACCATGAATAAAATGAGTTCAGTAACTGCCATTTATTGAGTATCAGATACTCAATTTTATTTTTTTATTTGGTACATTTCCCCATCCTAAAATATTTCTGCATATTTTATAAGAGGTACTATTATCTCATTTTATGAATACAGAAACTGATGTTTAGAGAAATTAGATGATCTCTCCAAGACCACACCACCAGAGAGTGGTGGATGGGGCTTCAGATCCTGACAGTCCCACGGCACAGACGGTGCTGTTGCTCTCCATGGTTTAAGAAAGGGTCTTGCCTCCTGAAGAAGCTAAAGAATGGATGGAGTGAAGAATGTTCTTCAACTGGAGCTTTCAGAGCAGATGTTAAAAAGCAGAGGGACTTGGAGAAACTATGGACTTGGCGCTATGCTAAGGCTGCTATATGTATTTTTCCCATCACGCTCCAAATGCCATCCTCATCAGCAAACTCATCTCTGAAGATGCCATTGGCCAGACACAGTATAAGCAAACCCAGACTGGTGACAGATCACCTTGCTTCAAAGAAGGTATCCTTCAGGGTGTAAGGGGACAAGCCGAGGGACAGGAAGGTGTCGAGTGAGTCCTAAGCCTCTGATCCATCGCTTTTCAAATGCATTCACTCGGGCAAGTCATTTCACTTCTCGGAATCGATTTCTCCATCGAAAACCAAGAATTTTAATTCCTGTTCTGCCAACATCACAGGGTAATTATGAGGGTCAAATAGCATCATATCTGTGAAAATGCTTTCTTAGCCTTATAGCCCTACATAAATAGGAAGAATGGGAGGCAAAGACTCCGCCGAGGAACAAATTCCAGTGTCATGTAAATATCACTCTCAGAAAATTGTCTCTTGCCCCAGAGATTTTGAAAAGGCATATTACTTTCCTCCTTAAAGAAAGGTTTGATGGCTCAGTTAAGGCCATAAGATTTTGTCAATTTCGGAGGCCAACTCATTTGCATGCTATTTGTATGTGTTTGCATAATGGATTCAAAAGGCTCACTGCAAGTATATAAGAGTAAAAGGAAATAAATGAATATAAGTGACCTTCTGCCACAGCATTCAAATCACATATTCAGGGCATTATACCCTGAAATAGGAAATAGATTAAAATTTAAACTATTGCAAACAGATGAGAAGATAGGTTTTAGAGTTTAGAGGCAAGAATGAAACTCTTATTTGGTCCCAGATTTTGGTGAGAAAGAATCACACACTCTTACAGGTCACCCCATCCAAATGATTTTCATGCCTAAATTCTCTCATCCATGCACCCCTTGACCCACCCCTCTCTGTAGACAAAAAACATACATACTCACTGCGTTATTTTCCAGTCTATTTCGAAATGCCTCAGGTGACAGAAAACTTACCATTCCCCAACAAATTGTTTTGGCCAGTTTTGACTGTTTAAAACGTTTGATCTTATATTGAATTGTTAATGTCTCCTCTAGCAAACAGAGTTAAGTTCAAGCCCTTTTGGTGTTTGAAAATAGTTATCATGCCCCTGAACCTTTCCCTTTCTAGGTTAAAAATCCCTAGTTCCTCCAAGTGTGGCATAAGTTCATGCATTACAATCCCTAACAGTCTGGTTATCTGAATATTTTCCCAATTCCTCAAGAAAAGCACTGTCTTGAATTCTAACCCTAGCTTTGCCATTAACTGATTGTGTGCCATGGGGCCAGTCTCTCCGTGTCTCAATTTCCTCATCTGTAAAATGATGGCATTGAACTAGCTTGTCTAAAAGTTAATTTCATTTAAAATTCCATCATTCTATTTCAAAACGACAGTTTCCAGTTTACTTTTGTAACAGTTTACTTTTGTCGCTCGGGGATGAAGCTGCTGTCACTCATGCTGAGAACCAGTTCTTGCAGAGATATGGAGAAGGAGAGGAGAAGATGAGAAAAGGGCCAGGAAACACATGTATTTCTGACCAGCATCTACATCAGTGGGGAAACAGCAACACACCCTTGGACCCCAGAAGTTTCTGTAAAGTTAAAGTATCCCTAAATAAGATAGTAACGCAGATTTACATTCAAATCCCAAGTTATCCTCGTTGTTCTGTATTTTATTATAGCAGGCTTCCTGGCAGTTCATTCCTATGACAATTGTCAACTGTCTTCCCATGAGTGATCCCACAGAACTGCTCAATTTCGTGTCGGTGAGGCCCATCCATTTGCTTCCTGGTTGCCATGGATGTATATAGTCTAAGAGTGATTTGGAGTCCTAAAGGGTTCTTTAAGCCCTTTCCTGGTGATAACTCAAGGGCTAATTTACTGTCTTTAAAGAATGTGCAAGCCAAAACCTGCGTTTATGATCTAAATTTAGCAAAAAACTGGATTAAAATATTCATTATATAATTTTAAAAAATACTTTCCACTTTATCTTATGACCCGTCCTCTCTATACATTCAGTTTTGGTTCTGCTTTTGGTTTAAGTTTGCTTCTCCCCTGACTCCAGATGGTTAAGTCTACTTGCATCTAAAATTCTACTTGAATATTTAATACATTTTATTGTCAAACTTACTCCTTTTCATTATTTTTTTCCCAATATGTGCTTATTTAATTTTTTTTTTTTTTTTTTTTTTGAGTTGGAGTCTCACTCTGTCACCCAGACTGGAGTGCAGTGGCCGCTCCTGGCCACCGCAGCCTTGACCTGCTGGGCTCCGGCGATCCCTAGTAGCCGGAATTACAGGCGTGCGCTACCACGCCCGGCTGATTTTTTTATTTATTGTAGAGATGAGGTCTCGCTGTCCAGGCGGGTCTCGAACGCGTGGGCTCAGGCAATCCACTCACCTCAGCCTCCCAAAGGCGCGGGATTACAGGCTGAGCCACCGAGCCCAGCTTTTTTTTTTTACCAAGTTAAAATGACACAGGTTCAGAGTCACATAGGACCAAAGTAAAGCCCTTTTCAAAGTTGTTTCTGTCTCTCTCTGAGTTTACCCGGGTGCGCTGCCTCATGAGCTCATCAGCACAGAGTTCCCAGTTCCTCTGATCCTGCCTTCTTGTCGTGCTGCCTTTGCAGTTGATGACACTTGTGAGGTCACCACGCTAGGCAGAGCAAGTGATGCTGATGCCCGTTTCACACCTTGAGAGGAGACATGGCTTGATTTTGTAGGGGAAGAAGTTTTTTTCCTCTACCCTCTTAGGTTCTGTGTCAAGGGCCTGTGAACTGAACTGACAAACGATGGATTAACAGGAGAAAAAGCATAATGATTGTATTTGATGTTAGTATTTTTATGTGGCACAAGGAGCTTCATAGAAAGAAGGGAAAACTCCAAAGAAGTGGTTAGACCCAGGGGCTTATATATCATTTTAACAAAGAGCAATTCATTATGGACATATAACAAGACCAAGATAAAAGGGATTTGGGCTAGGAGCCATAAATTATGGGAAGTGACTAGGAAATGTATGGGGAAAACTAATGAAAGATAAGGAAGTTTTAAGAGGGATCTGTTTTGACTCTTTGTCTCCAGTGATAGAATGTTCTTTTCTTCCTGGTACAAGGAGGGCACCTTTCTCATGGTAAATGTATGCCTTGTTTTTAGCTTGAAATGGAAAGGCCAGAGTGCCCTTCCTCCACCTGCTATTTCTCAGTGATCTTTAGCTCAAAAGAACCAATATGCCAAAGTGGCATATTGGGGGGTGGTATGTTCTGAATCTCTTTGATTTCAATCTCAGTTGTGTACTTGAAGCTGGACGGCCTTATAATACTACTCCTCATCTTGCTGCTCCAGAATTTGACTATTTCTTTGCAATCTCGTTGATGGCATTGCCACCAACAATATCAGCATCTTCACATGGCATAGACAGTACACATCTGTTGCAAAATATAATCTAGGTCTGTGTATACCTGTTTGTATACACCAAGTCTTCTTGGCTTTGTACTTTGGGGAAGAGAGAAATCTTTTCTTGTCCTACCCAGGGACAGTTTGTGCTCCGTGGCCCAGGATTTGCCTCCTCTCAAGATCACTGATATTGAAAATATGTATTCCCTGGGGCCCTCATTATATCAGTTTAAAAACTCTCTGATGTTGGAACATTTCCTCAAATCTGGGTTTCGCTATTTTTTGTGGTCATCCATTTACATGTATA